GCAGCAACCAGGCACCCCTCTCTCACCACAAGCAGGCGTCATTACTCTGCTCTTCACAGATGAGCTAAGTGAGTGTGGAAGAGGTTAAGTGCCTTGACCAAGATCACAAAGTTCGACTGGACTCGAAACCAGGCTTCTCTTTCTACCACCCTCTTTTGTCTCTTTCTGCACACTCACCTGCAGGGCACACCTCCAGGTCCTGGGACCCCTCCACTACAGGCCATGGGTTCTGCTGGACTCAGGCCAGGGAACCGGGAACCAGGCATTGGTCGGCTAAAAGCCATCTGGTCTAGACTGAGGCCCCACAGTTTAGTGCCCTGAGAACCGAGCCTGTGACCCAGGTTCTGTGTGTTCCCATCTCTCTCTCACAGCAAAGAGAGAGCCCCTGGGTGTCACCAGCAGTTAAGGTGAAAGGCCTGGTGACAAAAGGTCATAGCCTTGAAAACGCGAAGGAGCAGGTCTGCCTGCCCACACGAGGGCGCCAGGCACAGACACAACGCGGCGGCACCTGTGAAGCTTTGTGAAGACACGTAGGGGTGGTCTTCCATGATCTGGCAAAGGAAACAGGAACTTTGGCTGCCTGGTGAGGCTGCATTTCAGGGAGAATTGGTGAAATCTTGGCAATGAACAAGCCTTCCACTCACTGGTATTTACAGAAGACAGTGTGTGGCATCCAGAAATCAGGCCAGCTTTTAGGAACGTCCACCTTTCACCCATTCACCAGCCTGGTCACCTCAAAGGTGGACTCACCCGGCTGCACCTCCCAGCTGCCCAACTGTATGACTCAGGAGAGGTTACCTGGGTTCATCTCCCGGTAATTGCCCACGCCATAGGCATCTACAAGGTTCTGGAAGCCGGCTGTGAATTTATTGGTCCTGTTAAAGGTGGGAGGGGCCGTTTTAGATGGCACTGCGGTCAGGATGGGGGCCATGGCCGAGCCGCTTTGTTCCTGCAGAGAGAGCAAGGGACAAGATTCACTGTAAGAGTGGAGCCTGGCTGGGCGTTGGCCAGGGACCAAGGCCCCAGCCCCTGCACCCCACAGAGGAAACATAGGACAGCCCTGGCCCTGGCCCTCTCGGGGGCTCAGGGTCTGTGTTGGTTACTCCGGGCTGCGGGAACACAGATGCCACAAGCAGGTGACTTCAACAAGCGGGAAGTTGTCTTCTCACAGGCGAGGAGGCTAGACAGACGGCCACGCTGGGGCGCCAGCTCTGGGGACAGCTTGCTCCCTGTTGGCTCTGAGGGAAGGCCCTTGTCTCTTCAGTTTCTGTAGCACCAGCCTTCCTCGGTTCTTTGGTGACCCTCCCAGGACAGCTATCTCCCCTGCCTGCCCTGTGTGCTTCTTCTAAGTCTGGCCTGATTTTTCTATAACTCAGGAGCAATTAGGTTTACGGAACCCCCACACACACACTGACATGACCTTCTAAACAGAACGAAGAAAACCCTGCATCCAAACTCGGTCACAGGGGTGAGGACCCCACACATACCGGGGACACAGCACCATCCACGGTGCCTTCCTGGCACTTACTGAGTCACCACACAGAGGGCCGTGGCATGGATTCCCCTGCGTGTCCAGAACTTCCACTGCGTTCTTGTGAGTGTGTGTGACACTCCCACTGCTGCTCTTGTGAGTGTGTGTGACACTCCGGTCCCCAGCCTTCTGCTCTGCACTTCCTCTCACGTCTTCCCTCCAGAGTGCAGCCATTCTCCACTTTCATATCTGACCCTCTCTTACATATGATATGGCCTGAACCCATTGCCAATGAGTCGACTGACTCATAGCAACTTTATAGGACAGGGTAGAACTGCCCCCAGAGGGTTTCCAAGGCTGAAAATCTTTACAGAAGCAGAACTGCTTCATCTTTCTCCTGCAGAGAGGCTGGTAGATTCAACCCACTGACCTTTCAGTTAGCAGCTGAGCACTTTAACCACCACAGCCAAACCCACTGCCATCCCAGTCAGCTTTGTCTCTCAGTCACCCTATAGCATGAGTGGGACTGCCATAGGCTTTCCAAGGCTTTTTGGAAGGAGATTACCTCATTTTCCTCCAGTGGAATGGCTCATGGGTTTGAACTGTTGACTCCTTGGTTAGCAGCCAAGCAACCTTAACCACTGTGCCACCAGGGCTCCTGCTACCTGGCCCAACCCTCCTCAAACTTCCACTCTACTGTCTACTTAGGATTCCCACTGTTATAGAATTGTGTGCCCCAAAATACGTGTTGTACATCCCAACCACCCTGGCTGTGGTTCTCAGCCCATCTGGGGCTTGGTTATGTTTGTTTAAGAGAGAGGCTAGGTGAGGCTGGGTCGTGAGTCCCTTACAAGATATAAAAGGAGCAGGTTAAGGAAGCCTAGATGGGAAAAGATTTGGCCAGCCACCTGGAGATCATCAGGGAGAGAAGCTCGGAACACACCGGGACCTTCCCTAGAGCGGACAGGGCCAGAAGGCCTTCCCCCAGAGCCCGCACCCTGACTCGACTTCCAGCCTCCTGATCTGCGAGAAGAAGACAAATTTCTGTTTGCTAGAGCCCCCGACCTATGGTATTTCTGAGACAGCAGCACTGGAGAGCCTACCTTCCCCACAAAATACAGGGTCTGCACCTGCCTCACCCACCTTCCCCCACACTGGGTTCTCCCCTGACCTCCCTGCTTCTGTGGCCAAGGGCACTTCTAGATTCCTGTGGTGTCCTCTGACTTGTCCCTCCCCTGATGACATGGCCAGTCCCTCCATCACCACACCTTCTCCCCTCTCCCTGTTCTCACAGCCCCTCCCCAGCCGAGCCTGACTTCCCTTCCTGTTAGATGTCACTCCTGTCGGCTTAGGAGGCCCTGGGCGGCTTTGTCAATTGAGCGCTCAACTACTAGCCAAAAGGTTGGCTGTTCAAACACACCCAGGGGTGCCAGAAGACAGACCTGACAATCTGTTTCCACAAGGTCACAGCACTGGAAACCCATGCGGCAATTCTACGCTGTACGTGTTGGGGTCGCCACGCTTCAGAATCGACTTGACGGCAACTGTACGTTCTGCTGTACATAGGGGGGCTGTGAGCCGGAGAAGACTCGATGGCACCTAACAACACCACCACCAACAACAGCAACAGCAACACCAATGACAACAACACCAACAACAGCACCACCAACAACAGCAACAGCAACAATGACAACACCAACAACAACACCAAAACCATCACCAACAGCAACAATGGCAACAACAGCAATACCAACAACATTAACACCACAAACAGCAACACCACCAACAACAACATCAACACCAACAACAACAACGATAACAACAGCAACAAACTTCAGAACTGACCCAACAGCAACTAACCTCCAGGTGGCTAAATCCTTCTTTTATTGATTTATTTCATTCTTCTTTTAAAACATAAAACAAACAAAAGACACTACTTTCTTCCTGTTACTCTACTGCTCTAAGAGCTTCAAAGGCTTCTTATTGTCTCAAGAACAAAATCAACACTCTTGTCAAGACGGCTTTACAATACTGACTTAATCTTCCATTCACATGTCCACCTGCCACTCCTTCCCGGTGGAAACAAGCCAAACTCAGGCCACTGGAACATTCCTCTTCTTTACCTTGGCTTTGGAACCGTTCCCAAAGTTGCAATGCTCCGCCAGCCACCTCCCTACCCTGCTTTCCCAAGACCTAAAGAGTTGCCAGGCTGGTTCCCAGAACCCGCACCTCACTGGGACTCAGCGCAGCTGAACAGTGCCCACCACCAGCTGGCCTGGTCCACAGCCTTTTCTAGGATCAGTCTTTCTACCAACCCCACGAGATGAGTATCCCACCTTTAGAGGAGGAAGCCAAGGCACAGAGAGGTTCAGTGGCTTCCCCAAGACACACAGCGGGAAGGGGAGGAAGCTGTTACTCTATATTAAACATCTTTTTAGGAGCATGTCCTCCTCGAGACAAGGCCTGTGGCTTCCTCCCCTCTTTTGTAACATGGCTTCCAGTGACGGACATATGCTTGATCTACAGTAGCCGTGACTCACGGTTAGCTAGTACTCATGGGGTTTGCTCACTGTCAAGGGTGGATGACAGTGACAGCCAATCTCCTTACACTTCTCCCCACAGCTCAGCCTTTGCCTCCACCTCATCTCCTGCTTCTGGGGAAACACTATGGTTCCTTCAGAACCGAAGAAACTAGGTAGATCATCCTTGTGACCCATTAGGCACCCCGGCAGCAAGTTTCTAGGATTGTTGTTGGGGGCTATCGTGTCAATTTTGACTCATAGTGACATGTGACAGAGTGCCCCATAAGGTCTCCTATGTAAGTCATCCTTGCAGGAGCACATCCCAGGTCTTTTCTCCTGTAACGCCACTGTACAGGTTTGAACCACCAACATTTCGGGTAGCAGTCAAGTGTTTAACCACTCAGCAACATGTACCGAGTGGCATCAAGTCCATCCAATTCCAACCCAGCACGAGGACCACAGCTCCCCACCTTGCTCCACTTTTCCCCACTTTGCAGTGGGAGGTGTCTACAATGCAAACTGGATCAAGCCCTCCAGACATGAGAGTAAGGTAAAGTCCTGCCCTGACCTTCCAGCACAGGCATACTCCCTCCGGGCATCCCCACCCCCACCAGGTGCTGGGCCTGGGCCTGCTGGCTCCTGCTCACTGACCTCTCTCCCAGAGCTCAGCTCAGGTATCACCTCCTCAAGGAATCCCCTCCTGCCCTCCCCAGTCAGGGTCAAGTGCTCCTCCTAAGTGCCCCATCTGAGCAGTAGGTAGACGGCAATGTGGGGGCACAGTAGTGTGGGAGTAAAAAGGACCCTGGATTCAATCCTGACGCCTAGGTATGGGACCAAGGTCATGGTCTACTCCCTGCACCCTAGGTCCTCATATGTACAAGGGGGACAGAGATGGTGCCAACGCCCAGGCCTTTACCTTCTAAGCCCTACCTCTACCCTGCCCCCATCTCCTCATGGCATTCAGGGGTGGCTGCTCAATGCCATCTACTCAGAGAGGCTCCTCCGGCAACAGCCCCACTCCCCACCTGCCCTCACCCGTCACTGTCTGAAATGACATTCATCATGGACTTCCCTCTAGAAAGCCCGTCACACAGGGCTTCAGCCTGCCTGCAGGGCAGCCTCCAATAGGTTCAGGGGGCAGAGGCAACACTGTCTACAACATGAACGGAGAGAGCTATGGAAGTGAAACAAGGTCAGGGACCAAGATGCCAAACCCAGCGGCCAATCCGGAGCAAGTGGTCTGCATGTCTGACCAACCTCACAGGTCAGGTGGTGGTCTTCCCCGCAGTGCTCTTCCTGTGGGTCTGCAGCCACCCTGGCAGGGAGCTAGCACAGTGCTCAGCACCCTGACTCAAGGTAAAAGAATGCTGGAGCACGTGACAATGTTGTGTGGACCCGAGCCCTGTGATCCTGCAACACAGAGAAGGTTCCAGAATCCCCCACCCTTCTGTGTTCCAGAAAATGGCTAGTCACAAAGAACTACTTTTCTGATAGGACCCAGGTAAGACTCACGACGCACTGTTTACTATGATGAGGTGAGACAAGGACCCATCAAATTCCTGTTTTTGGCCTCCTAGATGATCAGCTGAACTATCTGTCCCCATGGGTCAGTTGGAACAAAATGCTTGTCAACGAAAAATGGGAGTAGTCTCTCTCCCTCCCCCAAGCCACTGAATGGTGTACCACCCTCAGCCTGCCCCATCTTCAGGAACCTCCAAGAGAATAAACTAGCCTCAGTGTAGAACTTTCTCTATTTTATTATCCGACCACGCCACCTCTCATCCCACTCCTGACACCTAGTTCTTTCCAGCGTTTACTCTCATCTCCATAACAGAAACGTCCCACTTTCCTGACTCCTGCAGGCTTCTGAGATCAGCGCGTGCTCCCTGTTGCTACCATCCTTCTTTCTGAATAAAGCCTCTCTCCATCTAAGCCTGGGTCTGTTCCCATTTGATGGTCATCAAACACTGAGAAACAAAACCATTTCTCCTGTCTACCTGGTAGGGCTGAATTGTGTTCTCTGCCCAAAGAACTGTGGAATTTTAACCCTGTACCTGTAAATATGGCCCTGGCTGGAAACTGGGGTTTCCTTTGATTCTGTGAATGAAGTCACACCAGAATGTTGTTGTTGTTGTTGTTACATGAGGTCAAGTCAGATCCGACTCATAGTGACTTCTCCTTGGGTTTCCGAGGTGGTATCATTATGGAACTAGATTGCCCAACCTTCCCTCTGAGGAGTGGCTGGTGGGTTTGAGCTGCCAGCCTTCTGGTTAGCAGTCAAATGTCTTAGGCAATACGCTACCAGAGCTCCTCACACCTGAATAGGGTGGGAACAAAACCTCATCCCTTCTGAGTGGTCCCCTAAAAAGAGTAGGACAGACACAGAGACACCCACACAAGGGGGAAGACAGGTGGACATGAAGACCCTCCCACAGGCAAAGGAAGGCCAACGTCACTGGCAGACACCAGAAACTAGGAGCAAGGCTCCTGGAGGGGCCCTGAGCTGGACGGTTAGCCTCCAGAACTGTGAGAAAATAAATTCCTGCTCTTTAAAGCTGCCTACATGTGGTACTTTGTGACGGCAGCAGGAGGGAGCCAGTTATCGTCAGGCCGACACCAGGTCACGCAACCCCATGTGCGTCAGAGCAGAACTGGGCTCCACAGGGTTCCAGTGGCTGATTTTACAGAAGTGGGTCATCAGGCCCATCTTCTGAGGCCCGTCTGGGTGGGCTCCGATGGCCAACCTTTCAGGTAGCAGCTGAGCCTTAAGTGTTTGCACCACGCAAGGACTCCATGATGCCCCTGCGCTGGGTTAAGAGTTAAAGATACAAAGAGAAATGCTACCACCGGGCCACTTGCAAAGCTCACTCCCGAGCGGCCATTACAGGCTGATGAGGCGGGTGTCCTCTCACCACTCACCGTGCCCTGCTCCAAGGCCCTCTGGATGCGTGCGGTGTCCGCCACTGGGAACCAGACCTCGGCGATGACACACTGCTGGGTGACATCGATGTTGCACAGGTTCAGAGTGTGGTAAATGGCCTTCATCTTCTGCACCTGGATGGCCCACGTGTGCCAGTTGGCAGCTGCCTCCTGCAGCAGGCGCTGGCGGTGGGACTCCGTCTGTGTGATCACCTAGCGAGGCCCAGGAGAGATGATGTGCAGAGAAACAGGGGTGTCCACGGCCATGTTGGCAACGTGGTGAAAATGCAGCGCCTGGCCCCAGGCCCTCTTTGGGGCAGATCTCACCTGGCAGTTAAGTCTGAGGACAGTTCACCCCTACAAAAGGTTAATCTTGAACAAAGATCTTCTCTGCCTCCTAACTAGTCCCCAGGAGCTGTGGCGGCACCTCTGACTCAAGACCATCTCGGGTAAGTTTAAGTCGAACTCTGCCCCACAGGGTTTTCAACAACTGATTTTTCTGTAGTAGGTGGCCAGGCCTTGCTTCCAAGGTGCTTCTGGATGAATTCGAACCTTCCACCTTTCAGTTATCAGCCAAGCTCATTAAACACTGCCATCGCCTAAGGACTCCAAATTCCAAATTCCACCAAAATGCTTTATGCACAAAATCCCTCCAATACATGGTCAATGAATCAATGCCTCCAACACAGAGTAAAGGAATTAACAAAGGAAGGAAAAAATGGATGATTTGGTGCACAGAGATTTTATTTAATGGAATTTGATACTATGTTCTGGGGACTGAACAACTAAGGAGCTTAGGCTTTATTCTGCTGCCAACCAAAAGGTTGTTGTTGTTGTTGTTAAGTGCCGTCGAGTCGGCCCCGACTCATAGCGACCCCTCCTTGGGTTTCCGAGGCAGTATCACTACGGAAGTAGGATTGCCCAACCTTCCTTC